GAGCATTAGGGAGGCAGCAAGAACTTGTTTCCTCTCTAAGAGGTGGATCTATGTGTGGAAACAGGTTACATGTCTCAACTTCGACGACATAGATGCATTATATAAACCGTCGAAGAAAAGAGGACAAACAACACCCAGTTACAATTGGGTGAACCAAGTCCTGCAATTGCACCAGTGTCCATCTTTAGATGCATTCAGAATTTGTTCTTCCTCAACCTATATCGGGCCTAGTAGTTCTGAAATTGACAATTGGATTGAGTTCGCAATGCAGAAGAGAGTTCAAAGGCTTGAGATAGATTTGGAAGCAGGTAGACTTTCTTCTTTTTCTTATGCCAGTTATATCTTTCCAGATAAGCCATTTAGAAGCCCTTTCGGCGTTTCCTGCATCAAGTCCCTTAAACACCTCTCCTTGTCATTTGTAAACATAACCGGCGAACTTGTTGAGCACTTTCTATCCAATTGTGAACTCCTTGAGCATCTTTGCGTTTCTTGCTCGGATCAATTAGTAACTTTGAAAGTTGCCGGTTCGTCACTCCGGTTGAAGTTCCTACAAATAAGTGACTGCATGTGTTTAGAAAAAATCGAGATTTGTGCTCCTAATCTCGTGTCATTTATTTATCACGGAATGCTGGGTTTTTATGACAGTATTCGTTTGAGGCATGCACCCTTGCTTGTAAACGTATCTCTTGCAGAAAGTACTAGGTCTATAGTTCCAACTTTTCTTTCGGTTAAAAGTTGTCTTCCTCAGCTGGTGACTCTCAATCTCAACTTGCACAAGAATCTGAATATGGTCGGTATATGAAATAATTCAGTATTTATTATATATGTATATATAGACTTTATTTTCAAAATTTGCTTTTCATCTTTCAGAGTGCAATGGTGAGGCAACCAGAATTTCCAGAATTAACTTGTCTCAAGGACTTAACATTGAATGTTGTCGCAAGTGATCGGCAAAGCCTCCTTGATTTGACTAAATTGATAGAGCGGTCTCCTTTCTTGCATAGATTTACATTGGAGGTAAATTTATTTTCAGCATATCTTACAATTTAAAGTTGGGAAGTTTATTTAACGGTTTCAGAAAGGTATTTGTTGATTCATGTTTACGCACACAAACTTTTAAAAGTTGTATTGTTTTTCCGTGATTTTTGAAAAACTTGTATATGTGGAATTAACTTGTCTAAGGTAGATTGAAAAGCTATTGTTTTTGTCCTTGTGCAGCTAAGATGGGCACGAGTGCCATGTCTGAGGAATATGCAGAAGGTTAATAGATGTCCTCATCAGTGCCTTAAGGTGGTGAAATTTTCTGGGTTCGTTGGGTCTAGTATCGACACTGAGCTTGCCATGTACTTCACTGAGAATGCCGTTGCGCTTGAAACGTTTATCGTCGATCTAATAAAGGTTGTCGTTGAAGAATCCACTCTATTGTCTGAATTTGTTACAACCCAGAAACAATTGAAGGCAGCAAGAAAGCGTGCATTGCAGATTGGTAAAAAACTACCTCCAGGAGCTGAGTTAATTGTTTTGTAATTTCACTTGTTTAAAATCCTCTTTGCTACAGACGTGATACACTTTTTGCAGCATGTAATTTGCTACTATTTATTTCTGACATTTTCCGAAATTGAAATAATGTTTGTGTGGTGAACAAGGATGACAGTTTAGGTACTTGATTGATTTCTTCCAATATGTAGATTCTTGAATGAGTTGGAGACAAAATGAAAAAGGACATGTGATTCGCATGGTCTTGTTTTCCTTTTTCCATATGTATTTTGAAACCTCGACACTTACGTACGTATTTTCCAGAATTCAATAATATATTCTGTATGCAAAAAAAAATAATGATGCTAATGACAAAATGAAAAATAAATAACTACAATAAGATTTGGCAAGTGAGTCAATTTTGGTCTGAGAGAGAGAGAGAGGTAAACATGATTGACTATAAATGTAGCAAAACGCAAGTCTCCTTAGCTACAATAATAGTTGTCAAACGTAGCCATGAAGGTATATGCATTACTTTTTCCTAGTTATGCCTTGTAATGATAATGAGGTTAAGATTTAAGAGGATGCTGCTGTTTGGAATGCACTAGTGCTCCTCGATTTAGACCTGTTCTTCCTGGTTTCCAGAGATACAAGAAGTGGCACAGATATCGAGATATGATCTCGCAAAGGAAGTTGACAGCTTGATCAGTCCCCTAAATCCCTCGAGGCGGAAACTACATATTCATCACTTATCCAAACCAGTGCACATTGTTTGTGCTTCCGTTGTCTTGTTGCAGTGTATGGCGGAGACTGTTACTTGAATTTCCCTTTTATTTTCTTTTCTAGGCTAGCAACGGAGGAAGGCAAGTTCGGCAATGTTCAGCTTGCAGCCTTCTCTCTCAATCTCCGCAATCTACTACATCAGCCTAACTGCTGTGCTATAGGAAAGACAAGCAGATGCCAAACGAAACCAGACCAGGACCTGAATCATCTATGCAGAAGAATAATTCAAAGCTCTTGGTGCTTGCTTGTACTGTGTACCATTTTTGTTTTGTTTTTTATTGAATTATGTTCCCTGAATCTTGAAAGGAACTTGCATATTCAAATACTGTAATGTCAACAACGAAGTGTGACATTATCTCATAAATGAGACAATCTGTCCAGCGGATGGCTCGTTGTTAATGTCCAACGGTTTTCATGCGTCATTGCATCCTAGATTCTGAGTTTCTTTGCCTCCTGTCAATTGTACATAACAAGCTGAATAAAGTAATATTAAGAAGAGTAGGTACACACACAATGCCAACGCTCTGGCTCTACAGAAATTTCCATTAACAAAATGAAAAGTAAAAACAAAACAAAACATTCACTCTCTACAGAGATCGATCATTCCAGAATTCATTAGCTGCACCATATGCTTAATGGCTGCATACGTCGCATTCATGCGTGGACTGGATCAAAAGCCAAAATACGAACAACTTGTGACTAGGGAGTAGTGCTAGTACAATTATAAATGTAGCTTGCAACAAATGATCCATTGATGCCTCATATGACAAGGTAACGTAAAAACAAACAACAAACTAGACAACTACAAGATGCATCCTAGCTCGTTAATCCAACATACTCAAGGGTACAGTAAGTATGGACCAGTCTTCTAATTAAAAGTACAGAACAGAGTAAGTTTAATCAATTATGCAATGAGTCTCCAAACAAGAAACCCTGCACACTCAGCGACTCCACCATGCCGTCCCTGACATTAATTAAATCAAATCATGTTAAGACAAATGAGCAGCCTAGCATATTTATGCTGGAAACAATTTATGAGTGTTTATGCATGCCACACTCGCATCTGTAAGGCAACAAAGAGGGTATGTGACAATTTAGTAACTTGCAACAAAAATGAGGAATGGGATGCTACATCCAGTTAGCCAGCTGCATAGCACATACAAATGTGTTTTGATCAAGGAACAGGATGCAACAAGTCAGCTGATACTAGGTGCTGCAAATTTCTACCCAAGAGAAGTAGTGGATAATCCAAGACATGAATCCGAAGAAGAAGATTTGTTCTGCATCTACTACAGCTACTCAGGATGCAACAACAATCTCGTCTTGAAGTGCAAGTATCACTTTGTAATTTCAGCTGATTACGAGTCCGGGAAGCAATTGGACGATCCTTTTGACAAGGATAATTACTTTTTTAAAGATTAGACACACCTCTTACATGGGTTGCTCCACAACAAAGGGATCGGCCACCTCATATGTATCAATGGGATTAATGAGGGTTCTGCTTTCATCACTGATCGAGACATCATGCATCTATAGGATTTACTTTGCCTTTATTTTCAGGCGATGTAATTATCATTTTTATATTAGTTATTTCATATTTTTGTTATATATAAAACATATGAATTGAATCTGACTTTGTGATTTATAGGAAAATAACTGTCTTGATGTAGCATGTAAAGCATTTAGGCATATCACATTGATAGACGGTCTCCATGAGACGTGCGAGGGGCCCATGGAGACTAGGTTGTTATTTACTGTGGCTTTTGGTAGTACCTGGTTTGGGAGGTGGGGATACACATTTCCAGGTGGAAGCTATGGGGTGTCGAGAGATACTTCCACGACCGCTATTGAGTCCCTTGAGTCTCTTCCGTTGACTGAAGCTGAAGAAATTATAGAAAAATACAAGAAGATATGCCTTACTCCCCTAGAGTGCATGAGAGATTTATTATCTTTCATGCTGCAGATGAGGTGTGGCGCGAGAGACCGAAAGAGAACGGATCTAAATAAAGATTTGTGGATGGTGTATGATGAGGTTTTAATAAGGAGGAAAAATCACATCCAAACTATCTTGAATTGCAAAGTTTTTTGGACATGAATTTTCCTCCTCATTAAAACCTCATAATACACCGTCCACAAATCTTTATTTAGATCCATTCTCTTTCGGCCTCTCGCGCCACACCTCATCTGCAGCAGGAACGAGAATAAATCTCTGCACTCTAGGGGAGTAAGGCACATCTTGTATTTTCCTACAATTTCTTCAACTTCAGTCAACGAAAGAGACCCAAGGTACTCAATAGCGGTTGTGTAGGTACCTCTCGACACCCCATAGCTTCCACGTAGAAACGTGTATCCCAACCTCCTAAACCAGATACTACCAAAAGCCACACTAAACAGCAACCTAGTCTCCATGGCCCCCTCACACGACTCACGAAGACCGTCTATCAATGTGATATGCCTAAATGCTTTACATGCTTCATAACATGCAGTTATTTTCCTATAAATCACAAAATCAAATTCAATTCATATGTTTTATATATAACAAAAATATGAAACCACAAATAATATAAAAACGATAATTACCTCGCCTGAAAATAAAGGCAAAGTAAACCCCATAGATGCATGATGTCTCGACCAGTGATGAAAGCAGAACCCCTATTAATCCCATTGATACATATGAGGTGGCTGATCCCGTTGTTGTGGAGCAACCAATGTAAGAGGTGTGTCCAATCTTTGAAAAAATAATCATCCTTGTCAAAAGGATCGTCCAATTGCTCCTCGGACTCGTAATCAGCTGGAATTACAAAATGATACTTGCACTTCAAGACGAGATTATTGTTGCATCTTGAGTAGTTGCAGTAGATGCAGAACAAATGTTCTTCAGATTCATGTCTTGAATCATCCACTACCTCTTTGAGAATGAAGAGTGGAACTGTCCTCTTAACACATCCTTCCTTGTGAACCAACTCCCATTTCCATACATGCCCTTCTTGGACAACATCACAGTCAGCCATGAAAGCCTTAACATTTTCCATGAATGAATCTAACAAGGGTTTTTGGATGACACTTTTAGACTTGAAATTGGAATTGTCAAAGTTGATATGTGAAATTTGGGTAGTCATTCTCCTGTACAAAACCACATGAAAAAAAAAACACAACTAAATCAAATAGCAAATTATAAATGAGAGAAGTCATAATACATGAGCAATATAAACTGACTCACTAAATAAACCACATGAAAACAAATGAGCAGTTTTTAGCAACTGGTAATTTTGCAACATACTTGTTCAGGTGGAATTTCATGTGTCCCCAGGTCTCAATTTTCAAACTATTGATGATGGTGAACTCACTAACTTGCCATTACTTAAGCACTTTTCTGGATCAAAAGGCAAAATAATATAATGAGACTAAACCAACTTTAATTTTTTATGGTTGTCAATTCCCAAACAGGGGAACAATCATGAAGTTTCACTGATAGAGATGGGACACCAGAAACACAAAAGCTAGCAACACATGTATTTTACAAAATTAATTTTAAAAAAAAGGTAATTCCATTCCATTAGTGCTAAACTTGCCATGTAATTTTGTTTATCCAAATAAGTTAAAACAGAGCACTTAACCATGTGAAATAAAAGTCCTTGCGCATCCCAAAAAACTAAGGAAAAAGAAAACCAGGGTTGAAAATTCTGGATGAAACTGACATGAAAAAGATTGGATAAAGAATATTCCTCCTCTTCATATCGCTCTCAACTAGCTAGTAGCTAGCTAGACAACAATCTACAAAAGGAAATTTGAAATAAACAGCAACAACGAATCTAAAGATAGATATAGCAAAGAGAAATCAAACGTTACTGCACTCTAATTACTTTGGTCTCATAATCAGAACATCATGGTAAAACATCACATTAAGCGTGATAGCAACTGTTTTAATGGTTTTAATAATCTGATTAGTAATGTCAGGCTTTTTTTATATATCTCACATGCCAGTAGAGAGTTATATGCGCTCAGAGCTGCGGCTTGCATAGGGAGGCCAGCAATAAATACCAACAAATTCACACAAAAATACTCCCAAATATGCATGCTTTGCTCAAAAGTAATGACAGAGAAAGTAAAAGAACAAAATTTATTTAAATCCGTGCATTTTGTGAGATTAGTGAGAGAAAAAGAACTCAGAAAAGCAAAAAATTGAACTAGAGCTTAAACCAAAAGAAAGAAACAACCAAAAGAAGAAGGGAACTAGGGTTTAGGAGCCCAAATCTGAAAATCAATAAATATACTAGCTAAATAAATACTTCACAACATGAAACATTAGCTAGAAGGCAAGTTGAAATGTTTAGAATCAAATGTAAAAATTGATCAAAAAGGAAGGTACCTAGAGAAAGAAGCTCCAGTTTCTCCAAAGAGAGTGTGAGACCAGAGGAGGTTAGGTTAGGAGGAAGCTGCGGAGTGATACGAGAAATGATTTTTGTATATTCCTGTGTGTTATTGTTTTAAAAAATAAAAATTAATACAAAATGATACAATAGGGGTATAAAACGGAGTGAGAAAACGTTTATTGTTTTTCAGAAATTTATAAAACTCGGGGGCCGGAAAAGAGAAAGAAAAAACCCATTACAGGTCCATGAAGACAATCTGACCAGAATCAGCCCAGATTAAACAGAAAACAAAAGCCCCAAAATGGAACAAAAAACACACACACAAAATAGAAAGGCTCTAGCCCAAGCTCACTGAAAATAAATAAATATTATATCCTGTTTGGTGGGCTGGGACTGGACTGGTTATGATTGGACTTGGAGTGTTGGACTGGTTAGGATTGGATTGGGTTGGACTAAGTTGGGCTAGACTGCACTGGAAGGTCCAGTCTGTTGTTTGGTACAAGTATGGGCTGGACTGCATTGGACTTCAAACAAAATTTATTTTTAAAATTTATTAAAATAATTTAGTATCAGAAATAATTAAATTTAATTAAAAAAAATGTACACAAAATTAAATTTTATTTTTCATAGTACCATGCTGTCAAAGCATATATGACAGTTACTAACATCATGGATGCACGATGCACACAAACATTGTTTCTCTAACTCTACTGCAACTAGAGTTGTCACAATCTTCCTCTTTCTCTTTCGATCCATGTCTACCCTACCATTAACAATATTGGCAAGAATAAAACCATAATCTGTGACTTTCTTTTTTATACTCAAACATAAACGTTGTTTCTCTAATTCTAACAGACGCAAGACAAGAATAACAAGCGGAAAGGGAATCAAACCAAAAAAGAGAGGTAAACAGTGAACCACCCATGAAATTAACCAACAGAGGTACTCTGTTTGGTTGTCGTGAAACAATCAATGAAAAGGCAACAAATTCACAGACCCAATACTAACCAAAGCCTCTTTCTGGGTAAAAATGACAAAGTCCACAGCTGTCAAATCTATATCCTGTTATGTATTTACTTATTTAGTGATCAAAATAATAGTGATGATATTGGTGGAGAGGGGCTAGTGATGATAAGCTGTTTATAGTTGTGAAACTAGTGATGAAACTGGTCAAATGGTTGTTTGGGATGGTCCAGTAGCTAGTATCTCCTCATTAAAGGCATATGGATATGGCATTGTGGAGAGTAATTGTGGCGAAATTTTCTTATTAACGGTAGTTTTTCAATGCCAAAGTAGTTACAGATGCAGAACTTCCAATACGTTCTCACTTAGGACAAAAAAATGTCTATGATCTCCTCAAATTCACAAACTCCAGCCCTCTAATAAAAACAAAAATGTAATAAGAAGATGAAGAAAAATGAAGGAAGCTTCTAAAAGAGAAACTTCCATTGTCCCCTTTACTCATTTTGATCAAACCTGGTGAAGAACGAAACCGCGTCTTCACAAAGAATTGATCATATATAACACTACCATTTATCTTATTACAAGACTGCTATCTTATTACAAGACTGCTACTTTTTTCAGCACTATCTGTCAAACTTTTCAATACCCAAAAATGAAAAGGCCAAAAACTCTCAAATTTTTCAATTTTGCATGTTCAGCAACCGAAACAGAGATTTACAAACTAGGAATTCCAATCCATGGCCAATTAAAAAAACCAAAATTTATCATCAAATCTTGCCTAATCAGAAAACCACCAGAAACCACAAAGTACACATATAATTTCTCATCAAATCTTGCCTATTTAGATTCTTTGTCAATCTAGTTTCTGCTTGAACATAAATAAATAACTACACCATTTCCTTTCTTCAACATAATAAGCATTTCAGAATTGAACCCAGAACCACAAATCATAAAAGGGGTCTATCTGATGCCAAATTCACCAAATTGAGATGGGTTTGTTTCTCTTTACCTTGTCGTTCATCAGTGTTGATGGAGTCGGAGGCGTCGTTCATTAGTCTCAGGCGTCGTTCATCAACCCATTAACCAAAATTAACAACAGAAAATAAATAAATAAAATTGAAGCCAAAAGGAGATAGAGAGGTGGAGAAAATCAGAGACAAAGATGAAGAAGAAAAGAAGACGATGAAAAGAAGAAGTGCTCTAAGCAACGAAAGGCGGACAAATGAGAATGACGGTATCTATATACCCAAACATCAAACATCCACATAAAGCCGCGCTTTACTGATAAATTTGACAAATGAGAATGAGGGTATCTATATACCCAAACATCATGATTAGGTTAGGTTATGTGTGTGGCTGACGTAGTCTTTCCTTATGATAGGCCTGTTTTATTTCTTTCTTTTTTTAGTGTTCATGTGTTTCTGGCCGACCCGCTAGGCCTTTGTTTCTTTTTATCCTTCTTGGGCGGGCCTCTACTTGTAAGTTGTGTGTTTAATAAACGGACCGGACCGATCTCGTCCATCTGTGTAAGAGTTGGGTCTATTTAATTTTAAACCCGGTTGATAAAAAATAAAAAAAAATTAAACCCAACACGCATGAAATTCCCCTTTTACCCCTACAAACGAAAACCACAGAAGTTGGTCTTCGGAGCCGTTGATGACTTTCCATTTCCCCATTTCCCATTTCCCATTCCCCTTCGCGGCTAGAGGTTGGCGTTGCAGATATGCCGCGGCTGTCCACCCCTCAAATAAGTAAGTTTTTCCCTTTCGATTTGCGTAACTTCATTTCCTGTAATAAGTTTGGAATTTTGAGTTACATGACGATTTTCAATCAAATTCGCCAGCTTTTTCGTATTTGAAATCAAAATACCAATCAGTGTCAGATTTACTCTTTCAAAAGCGCAATTATGTTCCGTGGCTTACTTCCAAAATTGTCTTTAGATGTTGTAGTTGTACCAAATAAGTAGAAAAGGTTCCGCTTCTCCTTCAAAAAGAGGGAAATAGAAATGTAGTTTCCCAGTTGGACTTGGATTTGGATTTGGTGCATTTTGGTCGGTTTGCTGCCTGTAAATAATAGGGTAGCTGCTTTGGTAATTCTAGATTGCAAAGTTTTGAATGAAAAGCAGGGGCTTTTAATCAGCCATTGGCTCCCTCCCTGCTTTTTTATTTACGCAGAATCAAATACAAGTGTGATTTTATCAACGTTGTTGTGAATGAAAAACACCAGCACCAGTTTTTAATCTGCAGTCTTGTCTTCTTTTCTTTCTTTTTTTGGTTTCACTGCTAGGGTCACTAGCTTAGATTACTTGTATTCACGAACCCAACTTTTTCGCCTTCTTCGTTTATTATAGATGATCGCTTCTTTTCATCTGTTTGATGGTTGGTTTTAGTAACAATCGGTTTGATCCACTTCCTGTAGCTTACTTGATTACATTGTAACATTTAAGAAGAGAGTAAATTAATAACAAGGGTGTTCCAACTTCGATGCCGAAAAGAAAGGCTGAGCATTCTGGATGGACATACAGGAAACGACAAAAGATTCCAATCAATTTGGGTGATAAGGAAGAGAATTATTCAGAGGAGGATCAGATCAGTCAGCTAATTAGGGAAGCAGCAAGAACTTGTGTCCTCTCTAAGAGGTGGGTCTCTCTGTGGAAACAGATTACGTGTCTCAACTTCGATGATATAGATGCATTATCCAAACCACAGAAGAAAAGAAAACGAGTGAAAACAACATCTAGTTACAGTTGGGTGAATCAAGTCTTGCAATTGCACCAGGGTCCATCCTTAGATGAATTCAAAATTCGTTCTTCCTCACTCGATTGCAGTCCTAGTAGTTCTGAAATCGACAATTGGATTGAATTTGCAATGTGGAGGAGAGTTAAAGGCCTTGAGATAGATTTGGAAGCAAGTAGACGGTCTCGTTTTTCTTCTCCCAGTTATACCTTTCCAGATAAGCCATTTAGAAGCCCTTTTGGTATTTCCTGCATCAAGTCCCTTAAACACCTCTCTTTGTCCTTTGTAAATATAACCGGCGAACTTGTTGAGCATTTTCTATCCTATTGTGAACTCCTTGAGCATCTCTCCGTTTCTTGCTCAGATCAATTAGTAAATTTTAAAGTTGCTGGTTCATCACTCCGGTTGAAGTTCCTACAAATAAGTGAGTGTACGTCTTTAGGATTAGTTGAGATTTGGGCTCCTAATCTCGTGTCATTTATTTATAAGGGAATGTTGGGTTTTTGTGACTGTATTCGTTTGAGGCATGCACCCTTGCTTGTTAATGTATCTCTTGCAGAAAGTACTAGGTCTATAATTGCACCTTTTCTTTCGGTTAAAAGTTGTATTCCTCAGCTGGTGACTCTCAACTTGCACATGAATCTGAATTCGGTCAGTATATGAAATAATTCAATATTTATTTATTTACATATATATATATATTATTTTATTTTCCAAGTTTTAACATTAACTTTTCATCTTTCAGAGAGGAGGGGTGTGGCTCCCAGAATTTCCAGAATTTACTTGTCTCAAGGACTTATCAATGAGTGTTATCGCAACTGATCGGCTAAGCCTCCTTGCTTTGACTAAACTGATAGAGCGGTCTCCTTTCTTGCATGGATTTACATTGAAGGTAAATTTATTTTCAGTATATCTTAAAATTTTAGTAGTTGGGAAGTTTATATAATGGTTTGAGAACTGTGGAAGTGTAATTGATTTATGTGGAATGAACTTTCCAAGGTAGATTGGTAAGCTTTTGTTATGTCCTTGTGCAGTTGAGATGGGTACGCGACTCGTGTCAGAGGAATATGCAGAAGGTTAATAAATGTCCTCATCAGTGCCTTAAGGTGGTGAAATTTTCTGGGTTCGTTGGGTCTGTTATCGATACTGAGCTTGCCATGTACTTCACTGAGAATGCCGTCGCGCTTGAAAAGTTTATCGTCGATCTCAAAAAGGTTGTCGTTGAAGAATCCACTCCATTGTCTGAATTTGTTACAACCCAGAAAAAAATGAGGGCAACAAGAAAGCGGGCCTTGCAGATTGGAGAAAAACTACCTCCAGGAGCTGAGTTAATTGTTTTGTGATTTCACTTGTTTTAGTCCTCTTTGCTACAGACTTTTTGCAGCATGTAATTTGCTACTATTTATTTCTGACATTTTCCGAAATAATGTTTGTGTGGTGAACAAGGATGACAGTTTGGTACTTGATTGATTTCTTGCAATATGTAGATTCTTGAATGAGTTGGAGTTGGAGACAAAATGAGAAAGGACATGTCATTTGCATGGTGTTGTTTTCCTTTTTCTATATGTATTTTGAAACCTCGACACTTACCTGCGTATTGTTGTACAGAATACAATAATTAATATCTTTTGTATGCAAAAAAATAATAAAATCTTACCTGCGTATTGTACAGAATACAATAATTAATATCTTTTGTATGCAAAAAAATAATAAAATCTTGATAATAAATAAGCATGAACTAAAACTTTAGAAAATGTTCAAAATCCAAAATTTATAAGGCTTCGCCAAATTTTCCAACCAAAAAAAAAAAATTGAGCCTCGAATTTCCTCCATGGGATCATGAAATCAGCCTAGAAGAAGATGTCCACGTCAAGTTCGGCTTCATGCTAAAGATTCCTTCACTATGCCTGTGGCGCAGTGACCAATACAAACAATATAGAACAGTGCTGAAAAGCCGGTTGGCGACAAGAAAATAGGACCCAGCTTCTCTGCAATATAGAATATTGCAACAAATTAACTTCATTGCAATTAAAATATTATTTTCAAAAATAAAAAAACTGCTGCTGCTACATTTTCTACAAATAATCAATCGCGATTATGGGCGGGAATAAGGGTAGCTGGATTTCAAAATCCAGCCACAGAATAAACAAATGAGAGAAAACCATTTTCAATTTTGAATAAAAGAAAAGCTGAAAAAGTGGATTTTGAGGTTTCTGCGCACTCTCTCCATCTTCACAGCTTGATATCCACAAACAAGCACATGCTCGTCTCTTTTTTCTTTTATATTTCCGAGTACCCAAAAAGGTAAAGTAGAAAACAAGAAATAGAAACCCGCATTATCTGCTACTTTTAGTTGTTATCTGACATTCTACGGATTTTTTCAGTCTTATTTTATTGCTCCTCATTATTATGGTCTGTAATCTTAAGTCTCAAGTTTGAAGTTTGAAACCTACTTTCCATTTACTTCTTGTTATTACTGGGCTTCCATCTACTCTTTAGGTTGTTGGGGTCTCCTCCAGTCAAAGGTATTTGATCTGGGTTCTGCTCTTTTTAATCTTTCTTAGCTGAATTTTATATGCATCTGAATTCTGAGGGTTTCTGGGTAAGTGAGGAGGGTTCTGTGTCTTTTTGCATTGATGGGCTGCTGGTAAGTGGGAGCTTTTGTGTTGGGTAATTTGGTTTCTTCCATTTCTTTTTGGGTATGTTCTGGTACAAGCACTGTTGTATTCATGCGAATTTTGTCTTTTGAAAGTGGATATTCTGCAACATTTCATCAATTTATCAATTGGGTAGTTTTGTTTTTGTGATTTAAAAAATGGGTCTTTGCTCTTTAGTGATTACACGACTTTATGGCATTTCAGAAGCACTTGATTGCGTTCGATGTGATGCTGGAGCTACAAATCCTTCCATCTTCGGAGCGAGCAAGTAAGTCTGTGTTTGGGTGTGTTATATATACTCTTATTCGTGCTCTTGAGCTATGCGGAGATCCATTTTGATTCTTATAATGTCGTAATATTTGTTGTTGGGGTAGATGGTTTTGGAGTGGATTTGAAGCAAAGCTGAGAGAATGATAAGCGAAGTCTTCTTTCTGTTTAAATGCTTGCTATTTGCTGGAAAGACATGGCTTTCTGTTTTTAAAAGGCTCGGCTATATTGGTTGGAGTTCCACTTTCCAGCAACAACCAATAAATTAGATATCTATTTATGCTTACTTCTTTTGTTTCCTGCAACTTTGAAGAGGATTTGTGGTGGGTTTTTGATGACTTGTCTGTAAAATTGTGATGTGTGTACAGATGAACATTCTGTGAAGTGCTAGTTGGGAAGTTGGACAATAGAACATTAGATGGATCGCAAGTGGTTGTGGAAAAAGAAGTCTTCTGAGAAGAGCTCTGGAGAAACTGACAGTTCAGGTTCAGTATCTTCACACTCTGAGAGGTACTCTGATGAACAGGTTGGTAGCTGAACCCTGACCACCACAAAATTTGAGTTAAATCTTACTTCTGCAAAGCTTGCACAAATTGTTCTCTGGGCAGTTAACTAAGTCATTTACCTAGAATGCTCTGCATTCACTTAAACTGATTTCCTCCCTATCTTTTTTTTTTTTTTTTGGTTTCCTTCTTTTTTTGTAAATTTTCATCTTTTGCATGGAATTAATGGAATTTTGGAAATTTGACATTATACTTTCGTTTGCTATTACCACATATTTAGCCATCAAGGCATCAATCTTCCACATAAGGCAGTGCTTCAGTGATGAATCTTTATGTCCTTCAAAAGTTGAAAATTGCTTTTCAGTGGATGGTTACTCTTCTGTACATTTCTTTGTTGTCTGGAATAGACTGTCTATGACATGAGGACGCAGATCAAGTACTCCTCATGCACATGTTGATTGATTTCCCGTCCTACATCTGTTTCTCATTTTGTAACATAACTTAATTTCCTAAAACATACGTGAGATGCGTCTATTTTGATTAATTGCCTAGAATGAGTAAGTGTTTTAATTAACTACAAGATCAGATTTGGCTATGTTGATTTGAAATTTGTGTTTGGCATTCCTTATAGCTTTGCATTAGGAATTCATGTCTGCTTATGCAACCAAACGATTAAGTAGCATTTCCTGTTTGGGATACCCCTTCTCTGTTATCTTCTCTCCTGTTTCTTTAGTGTCTTCCTTGTCTTGATATGGTATCGACGTCATGTCTTAGCTCAAGTGGCGGAGACTTGATGTCAAATGAGTTTTATTGGTACTCAGAGGACACCCTACAGACACAGGCCCCTCAAAACTATATAATTACTGGTATTTGAGGACATCTTACACACTCAAAAGAGAAACAAAGGGTATCTTGTAGTGTGGCTGTGTGCATGCATGCATAACAACAGCCACTTTGATTTAACCATTTATAAGATTTTAAGTTTTCATAATGTTTCGTATCACTCTAGATATTAAACAAATACTATTTCCTCTCCTCTTCTTAAGATACCTTCGGGTGAATTTGCAAGCACCTCTATTAGGTGTTGTTCATTTAATCTGAACTATGATTTTATGCGTGTTTAACTTGAGTATTATTTCTTATGTTATCATTGTAGCAGGAAGCACTTAAGGCATCTCCTAATCATGACACTCAATCACCCGAAGTCACATCAAAAGCTGCATCCAATGCTGAAGATGTTAATGATAGTGTGAAGAGTCTAACAGAGAGATTATCAGCTGCTCTTGTGAATGTTAGTGCCAAAGAAGACTTGGTGAAGCAGCATGCCAAAGTTGCTGAAGAAGCTGTTGCAGGTAATAGCGTGTAGCAATATTTTGACATATAACATACCAACTCTGCTAATTTGTTTTCAAATTTCTAAACATGAAGAACAGCTCTCTGAAACCCTTGTGTCTTGTCTCCTGTACAAGGAATGGTTTTGTCCACATAATGATGAGGATGAGATTTAAAGATTTGTGAAATTTCTAAGTGCAATGGTTTTGTACACATAATGTTTCCAAATTTAAGAGATAATGTGAAGTGGGACGTCTAGGATAATTTTATCCAAATCTCAACCACAAATTCTATATTTCTAATGATTGTTATAATGTTGTCACCTTTTTATATATAAAAGCGATCTAGTTTTGATGTCAACGTAGGCTGGGAAAAGGCTGAAAATGAGGCGACCGTTTTTAAGCTAGAACTTGAAGCTACAATGCAGCAAAACTCAGCCCTGGAAGATCGGGTAAGCCATCTTGATGGGGCCCTCAAGGAATGTGTAAGGCAGCTTAGACAAGCAAGAGAGGAGCAGGAACAAGCCATACAGGAAGCTGTGGTGAAGAAAACCCGTGATTGGGAGTCTACCAAATTAAAGCTTGAAAGTCAAATTATTGAGCTCCAGAGAAAAGCGGAAGCTAATAGATCTGAAGTTTCTGCTTTTGTGGATCCTCATCTTTCTCATAAGCTTCAATCTTTGGAAAAAGAAAACTCAGCCCTTAAGCTTGAGCTACTGTCTCAAGCAGAGGAGTTGGAAATCAGGACAATTGAGAGGGACTTAAGTACTCAAGCAGCTGAAACAGCCAGTAAGCAACACTTGGAGAGTATAAGGAAGGTTGCAAAGCTTGAAGCTGAGTGCCGGAGGCTAAAAGCTTTGGGTTGCAAAATACCTTTAGTTCATGATCATAAATCCAGTGCTGCTTCCTCAATTTATGTGGAGTCTTGCATGGATAGTCAATCGGACAGTGGAGAACGGCTAAACATGATGGAGATAGATTCTCAAAAGATGAATGGCTCAGAGCCAAACAAGCGTGACCTGAATTTCTCTGACTCGTGGGCGTCAGCCCTGGTTGCTGAGCTTGATCAATTCAAGAATGAAAAGGCTGTTAACAGAAATTTGCCGGCCTCTTCTGTTGATATTGATCTCATGGATGATTTTCTTGAGATGGAACGACTTGCTTCATTGCCACATACTGAGGTTGGAACTAGTTGCCTAGAATCAGAAGCCATAATTAATCAGTCCAATAATGAAGAAAGTGCCTTGAGAGCTGAACGTGAAGCCATGAGTCTTCGGACAGCTGAATTAGAGGATAAGTTAGAAAATTTGGAAGTAGAGAAAGAAAAGTTGGAGGTAGAGAAAGCTGAACTTGCAGCTATGAGTCATCGAACAGCCGAACTAGAGCACAAGTTAGAAAAGTTGGAAGTAGAGAAAGAAAAGCTGGAAGTAGAGAAAGCTGAACTACAAACTGCTTTAGCCAAAAGTCAAGAATGTTTTGAGGCAGCAGAGTTTCAGCTAAAAGAAGCAGAAATGAAGTTGGAGGAGTTACAAAAGGAGCTAAACAGTGCAAGAGAATCAAAACAGACTATTGAGTCTCAGCTGATTAGCATGGAAGCAGAGGCGCGGACCATGTCTGCCAAGGTTAATTTCTTAGAAGCAGAGGTTCAAAGGGAGAGGACTTTATCAGCAGAAATTGCTGTCAAATGTCAAAGTTTAGAGGAAGAGCTATCAAGAAAAAATGAAGAAGTCAATCTTAAGAAAAATGCTTGCTCAAATGGTGAATTGAAGATAAAGCAGGTTGGTGATCAAAGACTGAAACCATCTACATTACATGTCTAAATTTTGATTATTCAAATCATTCATCAAGTTAAAACAAAAATAATATAAAATTTAATGTGGTATTGCGACTAATTTTCCAGGAAGACCTAGCTGTAGCTGCTGGAAAGCTTGCCGAGTGTCAGAAGACAATAGCATCTCTTGGGAATCAACTGAAATCTCTAGCAACACTAGAAGATTTCCTGATTGACACTGCAAACATACCAGGGTTCTCTGCTGTTGCACCACAGATACCTAAAGCTGATGACCAGTGGAAGTTTCATTCCAATGTGACATTTTCACCTAAAAGAGATTCTGTGTCAAAACCAGCCGATGAGAGTTGTGGTCCTTCAGTAAATAGAAATGAGGATACTTCACCACCATCTTCATCTTCATCAACCTCATCTACTGTATTGTCAACTCATGTCAGTTCTGAGAAGAATCGAAACGGGTTCGCAAAGTTCTTCTCTCGAACTAAGAGTGGGATACGACTAGAAATTTAGCTAAGATTCATTCTTTAGAAGAGAAAAACAATAGATATAATTGATTTTATGGGTTTGTATTACAGAGAATTTAGTGCTTCACTGTATTTTAAAGGTTGCTAATTAAATGCTGATTAATTGGCACATTTTGTTTTCAAATGAACAGTAATAGATCAAGCTCTGAATGTCCACAGATTTGCCCTAAAATGCTCTTCTTCCTGTTTCGGTACCACGCATTTTCTAAAATTGTTGGTGAAGTATATTTCTAAGGGAATTCCAATTTGGAATATCAGCTCTTTTTCTTTTGGGAAGCATACAAGTTTTGGAATACGCAGGAAGAACTGATGATTGAAGATTGTCGTAACTGGTTTGCCCCTTAACTAATAAACACAGGAAGAACTGCAAGCTATGTTTATTTTAAATGGCCTAAAAAGCTTATTTTGGCAACCGAAAAAAACAAAACAAAGCGTTGGAGTTGGGAGTTTTGGATCTGAAATGAAGAGAAGAATGCTATTTTATTACGTAAGAGCATCCACAGTGGGGGGTGTATATAGGGGTGTTATGTTAAATATACACCCCGAATCACCGGAATCGTCTCAATGAGTAGATATAAATGGATGTAAATATACATCACCACCATGAGGATGTAAAATAAAATGTATATTTACATCTATATTTATATCCCTTGCAGACAGACCCGAGAAAAGAGAAGAAAAATGAAGAAAAGTCAACATAAAAGGCTGAGACACACGGCTACACCCCCGAATTCACACTCCCCTATTGGATCAAAAAATATATTTACACCCCCGGAGGTATAAAAGGGATGTAAAAGTGACTTTACACCTCCGAATTTATATCCCTCCACTGTGGATGCTCTAAGAAAAAATAAACAAAGATAGAGGCAGAGAAAACTCCACACAGAAAATAGGTGGAAAAAGAAATATATTGGGGTGAGAGAGGCTCGAACTCTCGACCTCAGGATAACTCAGAAGCTATGAGACCTACGCGCTAGCCAACTGCGCCACCACCCCTCGTTGATTACTTTTCTGACAAATAAAATATATAAAACATTTACAATTAATTTCTAAACCCTTGACGGCTAAACCGTCGTCGACATTTGTCGGAGTGAATTTTGAACTACACTGATAGCATTGGAAAACGACAAATAATTGGCACACACGTGTGTAATATACTTCCCGTGCTATGAGGAACTAATGATTATGAATATATTAGATATGGTGCAGCACAATTGTCAAATGGGTTCTATGGTGTAGTGGTTAGCACTCTGGACTTTGAATCCAGCGACCTGGGTTCGACTCCCGGTAGGACCTCTTTTTTAAATTCCTACATTTTTTTAACCATGAAACAGAAATGGACACCTAAAAGCATGTAGAATTTTCTTAAGAAAGTAAATATCAAGGGAAACAAACCATGCCTTCATATACTCTCGCTCGCATAATTTACACTGTTGATTTCTCACATGAATAACTCAATTCTTTTCGTCAACAACCATTTATGTGCAAAATCAATGAAATAAACGACACAAACAAAATTCCGACCCAAAAAAAAAAACCCAACACAAACGAAAAAGATCTGTAACTATTTTTTGGCCTTTACTTTGTCACTCATGATGACTATTAGTATTCTGAGGATTCCTCTCTCTCTTGAAAGCATGGAAGAGATCGATGCCAAGAAAGGCATTCAGAAAGTTCATTCCGAACATCCCAAACAATGCAAGTGGCAGCTCAATGCCCTTTCCGAATTTGGGAGCATCCCAGATGAGCTTGGCAGTGATGAGAAGGTGAGCTCCAGCCCTTGCTACAATGTAGGTGACCAGATTTAGAACCCATTCTGCCATTACAATTTTGCTCTTGGCATCACGAACACCTGCCATCCGCCGCACTTTCCTCACGTGCAGAAAGATAGAATGCAGCTGTCAACAGAAATTGAAATATCAGAATCAGTTTCATGTAGAATTCACATTAACAACAATTTAATGAAATACTGAACCGATCAGACTGACTGATCCAATTTTCTCAGCACTAGGAAATATTATCAGAAGAAGAAAAAGCAATTCACCAAGGGATAGGAAAGCTTTTAAGAAGATAGTACAACATACCTCACAAATGAGAGTGAGAATAAGGTAATTGATGGTCACATTCCGATACAAAGCAAGAGTAAAGCAAATGAGGAGTATCAGATGATGCATCAGGATGGAAGGGATCCAACCACTATATAATCCATAATGCAGCATATCCCACTGATCATATGCAAAGTAACCGCACGAAAAACACAAAGCTGGGTATGCCCATGGCCAAGTACCTCCAAACAACTGAGAGTGCTCAAACATGCCAATCGAACCATTTTTTAACCACTGATTAGCCAAAATAAATATCACTGCAGGGACAAACAAGATCGAAGTTGCATCCCTTAACTTTACATTGGAATCAACAATGAAAGATGTGCTCAAGAAAGTTATAAAAACAATTAAGAAAAAACAAGCAAGTTAAAATATACTTGGATATGTATGTCTAAGGGTAAGCACCTTGATCTTTGATCTTACATTTAAAGGTTTCACAAGTTACCTATCGAAAGTCATGATCTTTTTAAGTTTTGCTTATTCTATACATATGCTTCGTTTTGTCCATTTCCCAAGATTCTACTCTTTTGGACATAAATCAAGGATAACATTGTAGGTTAGACTTTATATCACCCTTTCATCATAGCCAATCCAATCAAAGAAATAATAGTACCCGAACCACCCTGAATGCCAAGATGAGAGAAATCTAGGCGCATGGGCAACCTTTATCCCACCACCCTAAACTCACCAACACACCTGGCTCTGCAATTTAGCATAAGATATCTTCATATCCTCCACTTCTACAAAGTACAGTACCCATTTTAGCTCGGACAGTCTATGTTGCATTGCATAAAGACCATGTCTTTCAGAATGAGAGAACCAGAAAATAAAAACACACACACAATGGGAAAGCTGGAACCAACAAATGGGAGCATGAGCTTTCCCACCTGGTAAGCTATGTGGCAAATGTAATGATTATCATTTCAACAATGGAGTTGGTACTTAGAGAAAACAGTCCCCAACAAAGTTAAAGTGTTAATTTCAGTACAAAGATTCCATTTTTGTTAAACCTATCACTAAACTCTATGCACAGAAAAAGACCATGAAACATACTCAAAAAACCCCAAAAAATATTCCCAAGAAAAAAGAACAGCTTGAAAAGAAAACAAACCTGAAGAGGAGGTTATGGTGGAGTGGAGCAGAGAAACAGATGTGTTGACAAAGAGAGGGTCGCGGGAGACGAAAGCGCGAACAACCCAGTTGGCCAATTGGTAAAAGAAACAGCCAGCGACTATGGAGAGCAGCTGCGAGCGCCTGTGGAACAGAATTTCGAACAAAACGGAGACGAACCAGAGCACAAGTGTGGCTAAGAAGAAAGGCCCTGCCTTTTCTTCCTTTTGAGCTCTCGTTCTACTCATTTTACTTTGTTTCCCTTTCTTTCTTACTTTCTGTTTCTCTCTACAATAAATCCATACTAAAGGGGCGCAGAGGATGATGAGAGCGGTGGAGATATTTTTAGAGGGTTGTTCATCATGGTAAAAGCTGCGGCCTTGTTCATGGTGGATTTGATTCAATTCGTTAATTTGAAGTTATTTCTTGGTGGAAATTGAGTAAACTTTGACTGACTGTCTATCTGCGTGATTAGAGATCGCTTCCGTTACCCGCAATCATATCTTTGGGCCACTATAATAAAATAAAATAAACTTTGGGCAATGGGATGTCGGTTCAGATTTTTTGTTTTGTTTGTGTCCGTGTTAAATAAAAACCAGATATACAGGAAACAAGACCCCATGGGCAGATTGGTTTCCAGCCCAATAACAGAAAAACAATAGAATTCGTTGGAATTGGGCCGGCACTAAAAGCCCAAAATCCCTTTGGATGATGAAGACGAGTCATTTTATAGTAAGGGTCTTATATATGGCCCTTATGTGAGGTCATATCTCTTAACCGTTAAATCAGGCTAACCAATTTGATCCAACGATTAAAAGATAAAGCCTCATCTAAGGGTCATCTATAATACCCTCACTATAGAATTCTTACGATGAAGACCGGTTGCCAGTGCACCACCACACCAACAGTCGTACCACAATCATTGTCATTCGGCTTATCAATGGTCATTGAATACCCAAAATGGCAAATGGGGTTTGAGAGTCATCTTGATTGCACACATTCTCATATTAACACTATCGTCAGTCCTTTACACAAGATACAACGATGAAGTGAGGCTATAATGAGAGGGAAAAGCCCATTGTGAAAATGAGCCCAACCCACTAAGCATGTCAAGTTCACTTTTCTCTTTTTCAAAAAAAAATTTCATGTATTAATAATAAGATGCTACACTAAGCCATCAATCACAATTCACAACTATCAACGTCTTTGATCAAAATAATCACCATTGCCAATCAAATTTATCATAATGGATTAACGGATTATATTACAAAATGACCACATAGAAGAAAAAGTGGCCTGTCACCCACCTCACATGGCAAAACCCAACCCATTTCAAAAATCCAAATACGAGGAGAAAAACACGCAAAACGGGGATAGATAAAGATATCTTGGTCATCCGAGCTGGCAAGATATAAGGGCCCCACTCATGCCAGATACTCACAGACACAAGCAAAGAGCATGTGGAAGCAGAGGTTGCCACGTGGGAGCCAAGCGTATCCACGTGGCATACCATGGGAGGCCAACTGAGATCGCGGGCTAGAGCAGCCACCCACTTATCAACAGAAATTTCCAACAATAAATTTGTGACTGCAAAATCATTTAAGTTTCTCTCTCTCCCTAGCCATGAGTCTGTCAGCTTCAAACGCCATGACCATTGTTGCCACAGCTGCAGCTCTATCTTTGCCCATATCATTTTGTAGATCAACCAAGCTTAGCACCAAGAAGGTACGGATCTAAGAAAAGTTTCAATAATTTTATCTGGGTTTTCTTAGATTTTTGGAACTTGTATATTAACACTTAACATGGTTGACTAGTTAGATGAAATGTGGCTTCCTCTAGTGGTACATGCTTAATCTAGTGTGTAATAGGTACTTGGTGAGAAAGTATATAAACTTGGATAGGTTTCACCTTTAATTTTGAAGTAGAATTTCAGTTGGGTTGGTTAAATTGTGGATTGAAACTAGCACTTAATACCAAATTAAAGATATATGATTTTTATGCTAATTATAAATATTTGTAGGCTCCTGCTAGTTCTTGATGTATCATCTTCTGTTATAGATGTAATAAAGTGTGAGCTGTTTTATATAGTAGCTTAGATTGTTGGACTTGTTCAATTTCAGGGTGTGAAAGGAGGGTTTCGGGTGTTTGCTGTATTTGGAGAGCAATCAGAGATAGAAAAGAAGAATGCTTGGAGTACACTCTTTGATGTGGAGGATCCCAGGTCCAAATTTCCCCAAACTAAAGGGAAGTTCTTGGATGCAAATCTGGCCTTGGAAGTTGCTAGATATGATATACAATACTGTGATTGGCGGGCTCGACAAGATTTGCTCACAATCATGCTCCTCCATGAAAAGGTCAGAGTGCTAATCTGAGCAACTTCTTATATCTAGATGATGAGTTAAATTTCCTTTTTGATAGCATATTGACTGATTGAAACTTGACTCTAATTTCATTTTATTTGGAACAATTCTGTGTTGAGCATTGAATTATAATTTTGTTGAAAAAATCTTTATTGTTTAAGTTTTTAAATGTTTCATTGGGATTCTTACGCTCAAATATGGCTGTGCAGGTTGTGGACGTTCTAAATCCTCTAGCCCGAGATTATAAGTCTATAGGTACCATCAAGAAGGAGCTTGCAGAGTTGCAAGAAGAGCTAGGACAGGCTCATAGACAGGTGTGTAAATTTAACACTTGAGGAGATAAAGTCTTGTAACTTGCATAACTTGAAATCACCTTCAATTTATCCTCCTTGAAAATTGAATAGTACTAGTAACAAAGACTGATTAATTATAGAGCATCCAACTGACCAGATGCTTACTTCTGAAATTTTAATCCATGAATTACTACAGGTTCATATATCTGAAGCAAGGGTTTCCACTGCTTTAGATAAATTGGCTTACATGGAAGAATTGGTGAATGACAAGTTGTTACAAGATAGAGCAACTACATATTCTGAGGAAGCATCCCCTTCTCCAAGCACTTCTACGCAATCTCTGGATACTGTAAAAAGGAGGCTGCCTCGAAAAGGGTTGAACATTTCAGGTCCAGTTCAACCCTACCATCCCCGATTGAAGAATTTTTGGTACCCTGTTGCCTTCTCCACTGACCTGAAAGATGATACCATGGTAGGCTAGTTCTTCAAGTTTTTTATTCATTTCTTGTGCATTAGCTACTAAAAGCATTAGTGTGGAAACAAGAAAAAGAATAAAAGTATAAAAGAGAGGAAGAAAATATTATCACTCTACTAACAGAGGGAAAGTCCCTCTTCAATTTTGTGTTGGGAAGGCATGATCCTCTTCATTTTTCTTTTGGAAAGGCATGGTCCTCTTCATATTAACAGCAAAGAAAAATTAGTTATGTTAGTTCCATAGGTTTTTGTTGGCTATATCATTAATTTGATCATTATGGCGGTGTGGCATTATCTATTGGATTACACTTCTTCTGAGGAGTAGCTCTTTTATAGCACTTGTTGTCCAGTATTATTTAGTCTATTTGTGGATGTCTTCTAACAAGAGCCTTATCACTTTTGCTTTTCAGGTTCCACTTGATTGTTTTGAGGAACCATGGGTTCTCTTTCGTGGAAAAGATGGTAAACCTGGATGTGTCCAGAATACCTGCGCGCATAGAGCTTGCCCTCTTGACCTCGGTTCAGTAAATGAGGGCCGTATCCAGTGTCCCTATCATGGTTAGTGACATCTTAGAAAGGCATAGCATCTAGGTCATGTAGTACAACAATAGACATTTTATGAGTAATATTCCAGTGCTTTCTAACTATTATAGGAATCACAGTTTGACACCTCTGTGATGGATGAATTTCAGGGTGGGAATACTCAACCGATGGCACATGTGAGAAAATGCCATCTACACGATTACACAAAGTAAAGATTAAGTCATTGCCATGTTTCGAGAAAGATGGAATGTTATGGATTTGGCCTGGTGACGGCCCTCCATCGGCCACTCTTCCTTCTTTACAACCTCCTTCAGGGTTTCAAATCCACGCTGAGGTATGTTAAGGATAAATTCTGATCCTTTGAGCTCTTCCTAAAGAAGGTTAGAGATTGCTTATAAGTTATATATGTGGAAAGAGTTGTAACATTTTTGTAATGTTTTCATTTGACAGCTGGTCATAGAACTCCCAGTGGAACATGGGCTGCTTCTTGATAACCTTTTAGATCTTGCGCATGCTCCTTTCACTCATACGTCCACCTTCGCCAAGGGGTGGAGTGTTCCTAGGTTTGTTTCTGTTTGCTTAACGTACAATCTATCTATCATGTGATATTGTTTCCTGTTGCCATATTTTTGTATCCAACTAGAGCATATATAGAGCATTGTTACTCTAAACTTGATTTAAAAATTTCAACAGATGAGATAATAACTTACTTAATGTTGAGAATAATCTGAATTTTCAGCTTTGTGAAATTTTTGACGCCTGCATCTGGCCTCCAAGGATATTGGGACCCATATCCTATAGATATGGAATTTCGGCCGCCTTGTATGGTACTCTCTACGATCGGGATCTCAAAACCGGGAAAACTGGAAGGGCAGAGTACTAAACAGTGTACCACACATCTTCATCAACTTCATGTGTGTTTACCTTCTTCTAGAAATAAGACAAGGTTATTATACAGAATGTCACTAGATTTTGCACCCGTGTTGAAGCACATTCCATTCGTGAACTTCCTATGGAGGCATTTTGCAGAACAGGTAATTAAATCTTTTCTGACATGATTTTTCGCAATGGCTTCAGATGTGGAACCAAATAAAACCCTCTTGATTAAGATATTCTCACTCAGACTCACTTAAAAATTTGTTGCATTCAAATTGACACAGGTTTTGAATGAGGATCTAAGGCTTGTCCTTGGCCAACAAGAGCGCATGAACAAGGGGGCAAACGTCTGGAACTGGCCAGTGACATACGACAAGCTAGGAGTGAGGTACAGGCAATGGAGAGATGCCTTGGAACGAGGAGAGAAACAACTTCCCTTTAGCAAGTCAGGTTAAATTCAAACCCAAAACAAGAAAGCCTTCTTTTTTTATGAAAACTCTGGAACCAACCTGCATTCTTGAATGGATGATCAACCATGACAAGGCCCTGCGGTTTGGCGATTCTTGGCTTAAACAACGAAATCCTAGAGTCACTTGGCGGGAACTGTTAATTGATCTTGAGGCAAAGAAGAAAATGGTATCTGCATAGAAAACACCTTGTAAAATTGAAAGAGAAGAAACTGTACACTACCAACCTTTTTTTTTTTTTTTTAATAACCTTTTTGTGTACAGTGTTCATATTTTTTCTTCTTTTTTCTTTTCTCCTTACATGCCTATGTCTTTGATTTGTTTCCCAATAACATATTTATGGGTGTTACTACTTGTATGATAACACCAATCTCTTCAATGAAAATCCAATTACCCAATTCTTGCAACAAAGAATCTGCTTTGTTGCTTTGTGTAAATGCAAATTCATGGCTAAAGATTAGCATTTATTTTTCAGAAAATCCAAATTTCCAAAGAACAAGCTCAAACTTTTGCCAATGAGTGTTTCTCATGATTGAAATGACAAACTAATACCAATTTCATATCCTTCTGCCACATTTCCATTTCTCAACAATTACATTAACACAAATGGGAAGAAGAACAAAACCCAATTTTCTGAAACATCCAATTTTATTCCAGTTTACAAAGATACACAAAACAGAGCAGTCATGAAGGGACAAATTGATGTTCATATAGCGGAGCCACAGAAGGGGCAGAAGTTGAACTCTGGCTCCACAACCCGATCGCAGCTTCGGAGGCGGCAGAGAGTACGACTGAGGGAAGAAGAGGTTGCAATTGTTACAGTGCATGACGGGCTCCTTTCCGGGCCACCGCCATACGGGGACGAAGAAGACCTTCAGTACCTTCTCGTAGTCCACCAGATCCGCCGGCGACCTGCACACTATGCACCTGCCCGCACTGGATTTCAGCACCTGCCGGACCTGCTGCTCCACTCCTCCAGCGAAGAAGAAGAACATTTTCTCTTTTCTAATTTTTCAAATCACTTTCTGGATTTTTTTGTTCTTTTGTTTTCGGACGGTTTGTCGCTTTGGGTTTAAATTGATAGAGAGGAGGTGGAGGCGGTTAGTACTTGAAGCTTTTTTCTGGAGGGTTCGGTGGATTTCTGGAGGGTGTTTTACAGGAGCTCCATGTGTTGTGTAGCCTTAATTAAGTAAAGTAATTATTATTCTTCTGTTAAGTACGGTTAATTAGTGTTTAGCACCTTTGATGCCAATTCTCATTAAATGAAAATTACTTCCATTTTTTTATATAAGCGATAGAGGAATACTCGAACCTGCTCACCGCCCTGACTATCCGTTGCAATTCTCATCAATGTTTATTATCCATTTGAATTTCTATATCTCTTTTTGATGAAGCTTGGATAGCAAATCTCTCATTGGGTTTGGAAAACAATTCAAAACGAACAATACGAGTCTAATTGAAAGAAGCTTGATGAAGATGAAGCTCATACCTCCCTTCCAAAACATCTATGGCAGTGGTTTTTTCCTCTACTTGGAGGACATTAGAAAAAAGCCATTATTTTGCTGGATATAGGAGAGAGTGGGATGGCAGAGTTGATCTGACGTATCTCACTATTTTGCTTCAACCAAAGGATTTGCGGCTTTGGTATATAGCAGAACTGGCTAAAATATTTTGAGGCATTGCAACCCGAACTTTTTTCCACTAGAGGATTAGGCGAGATTAGCTCCTCAGTGAAGGTCACAAGACGCAAGCGCCCACCCTCAATCCAGAAGGAGAGGGGACCTACACTTTTGGGAGCCCCCCGCCCGTCCCTCCATATTATTAATAAACCATTTTTTTTAAAAGAATACAATGGTGGGGACTAGAACCAAAACCCCGCAAATAACACAAGAACTGGGAAGCCAACTGCAGACTAAAGCAGTGCTAAATAGAGCATGGCTGATCTCGTTGTAACCAGCAGATCAAACAGGGCTCAAAGAGCCACCTGTTTTGAAAAAATAGAAACTGTTTGTGTTCACTGGACAAGGATCATCACAGGAGCCAAACTTTGTCCATGTTTTTTGCATTTAAAAGGCGTGCACGAGTGCTTTCAGCTTCATCAGCACTGCATGATCTGTTCTGAATGTACCCCTTCGCATCTGATGTGCAAATTTCTGTACCAAAATACAATAATTTCTTTTAGCTTTTTGATAAGGAATACGATGAAATTCATTAATGCCCAGGAAAACAGTAGAAAAGTGGAGACACATAAATCAAAATGCAAATCTGAAATATGATCTATCCAGACTTCCCATTACATCAATTTCATTCCAACAGAACATACTCTCATAATAACTTAACACCTTATGAGTCCACAGCACAAATCAGTGCAAGAAACTCTTACAGACATCAGATATCATCTTCCTCTGCAATTTGATTTACACTCGATCTACCAATGCCACACTAATTAGTACCCTCGATGAAATTTTTCTATTTTTCCTTTGTACGCTTAGCACATATCTTCATTTTCTATCTGATCTTGTAAATCTATTTGCCCTTCAAATCCTACTTTTGAAATCATGCATTAATAATTAGGGAGGCATAATGTTAAAATATGAAGAAGGCATGGCATCCTAACTCAAAATGGTTGAGCAATGAAGAAAACAAGCTACCATGAGGTTAAGGTGAACTGGACTATTGTGAACAAAATATGCAGAAAGTAAAATGAGATAACTTCCTTACCAGAACATGTTGCTTCTTGCTCTCAATCAGATATTCAAAGTAACTGGCCTGTGCATTGCCATACAAGTTCCCTTCTTAATCTTCCGTAACCAAGAAAAACCGTCAAAACATTGCCGTAAAACTCCCTTGATTTTTTCAGCAACAAAGTAGAAACGCTGAATTACACAATGCAATCAATTAATCATTAGTTGCTTTATATAAATCAGAAACATGGAATAATCAGTAGTTAAAACTGATAGTATAAAGCAATAATTCTTATGCAAGATTTCAAAACCTTGACAATAATATTATATATACAGAATGAGATTTATATGACCAAGAATGGCCACAGATGACAAAATGGAAACACATAAAAGGCATAGAGAAGCGGCCATACCAATACAAGAAGCTCATCTTGATCTAGCAAACACCCCAATTTCCATTATAGTCTTGATAAGCGTGTAAGCCTTGAATGTGATCAACCCATCAAACTCGTTCTTGAATGTACACAGCCAATATGCTGTATGCACCACGAGATGTGGCAACTGGTTTAAGATCAAGAAAGGCCAAAACGTCAATTCAATCAACGTCAATCACTTCAAAGAAATAAATCTCAATTGTTGAAAAACAAGAAATTTACCTTTGGCAATCCAATTCAACACGCACTGTGATAATTCAATGCAATCAAGTTGGCAATTTGAAGCGGCAATAGGGGCACAGGTGACTTCTTTTCAGCCATTCAACAATGCAATCTTTATGGTAAAGATGAGAGCAGGGCATGAGCACAACCTCCAACCCAGCAGAGAACTCTTCCAAACAGATGCTACATTCCTTTGTCACGCTCAAATTGTCAATCTTGACCTTCTTGAGCCCCGCAATGGAGGATTTGGCAGCCGGGACTGGATTAAAGACTTGCCCAGATTCCATTATAGCCCTCTCAATTTGGTCACGGTCATCAAAAGGTGTCACAGCAAGAACAGCCAAAACCAATGGGACTACTCTGGGTCCAGCATTTGCAGGCTCCTGGGCAACGTCCATGGCAAAAGAATGAACTTCAGGCAGCAGGACATGAACAAAGTCCATTGAAACACCAGAGCCAGAGAGTACGGTTTGGATGGTTTCTTGGGTGTGTGAGAAAAACACATCAAAGGGTACAAAGAAGGATTCTTGAATTGAGTTCAAGGGTATGTTCAAATCCTGAGGGAAGCACAATTTGAGTTGATGGGTGAAGTCTAAGTGGAAGATGAAACAGTCGCAAGCGAGGAGATGGGTTGTGGGCAAAACTTGGTTTTGTCGTTCAACTTGAGAGATTGAGTATTGGTAGATGGTCTCCATGTTCAGCAACACAAAGAGAGCTCAAAAACTGTGAAGAAAAGTGAAAGGGGTCTTTCTAAAAAGGTTTGGGAAATTTTTTTTCTCTGTTTTTCGATCGAGGTTGTGAAACGAATGAGCGAAGCGAATCATGTAAATTTATTTACTTACTTAGTCCAGTCGGTTTGCTGGGCTACCCAGGTTCCAAGTAACATTACCAAATTTACAAGCGGGCACAATATGGCAAAAGACAAAAAACAAAAATAAAATAAGTAGGTATCAAAAAGACATGAATTCTTTTGCGCAAAAATTAGGAGACATGAATTCTTGTACCAAAAAAATAATAATAATTTTGGCACCGGATTAGCAGTGTTCGTTTTTATGTTAGAGACGTACTAATTATTGCTTCTAACTGTGTGCTTATAATATATTTATCAGTTCTTTTTTAGGATAGCGTTCTTTTTCGACACTCTCTATTTAACTTAAAATACTTAATTTGGAGTGACAAAGCTAAAGTTGAAGTACCAAAATCGCAACTTCTGTTTTTATGACAAAGACAAAAGAGAAAGGAAATTATAACATAAACACAATATCGACACCAAAAAATAAATAGTAGAATATCTTTTTTCCTAATAATTACACTCATTTTTGTTAATGTGGTATTACATTTTCGGCTTTGCATTGTAATAATCTCATTTTATTTGTTTCTTTTTTTATTATCAATTAATGTATAATTTCCTTGTCAAAAAATATTGTAACAGTTTCCTTATCTGATAATATTGTTTAGTTCCCTTGGTGACCAAAAAAAAAGGATAACATCGTCAAACTAGCACAAGACTAAATTAAACATTTAATAAATTATATGGTAAAAAGTATTCTTTACCCTAAAGAAATTAAAGGGATGTGCATTACAAAAAGAGAAGAAGTCCTTTTTTTTCTCCATTTATTCATATTTTATTATTCTTATTATTCTTATTTTGTTGGAATAGGGAGGTTTTATGACAATCATATTAGGCTTTCAAACCCTGTTGCTCGACTTTTAGCTTTTGCCACCTAAAAGATAACCATGGAGATCCATTTCAAGATTGGTTTCATAGTGAATGAAGTTGAGATTCCACCCCAAAACCAATTGGCTCTAGAGGGAGTAGCCCAATTCCTTATAAACCCAAGCTAGGTCCCTTAACTTTTCAATGCGGGGCAAATACTCTCAACACATAGAACAGGTCAGTTTTTTTGCTCTAGGGGTTCTTTCAATGCATTATTTATTCACAACTCTCATCTTCCTTTCATTGATTTATTTCCCACGTATGTGCAAACAATTAGGGTCTGGAACTTAAAACCAGCACAAGCAATTTATAATGCTCATGAGATATGGGGCATGACACTATATGAACTCGACACCAAATGCCAAGCAGTTCACCTGGGATCGTAATTTTTTTTTATCATACACAGGAGAACAACATCACCACTAAACCACACAGATAATCTCGGAGGATACTTGAACCAAAGACTATATATACAATTATCAATCAGCAGACTGCATACGACAGTAAGAACTCCATAAAAAGGAAGTTATACAGGCTTCCAAACAGTAAGCACCTCTTGAAACATTTCCATCATCAAGTCTCTGTCTGCATGCCTGAAAAAGTCGTTTACTTCGTCTCTAACATCGTATATTTTGCCAAAATCAAACAAGTACATCAAGCATCCTTTCTTCAGCATATTCAGCTGGTACAACCAGGCCTCACGCAGTCTCACAAGGACATTTGTGGAGTTAATATCTTCCAGAAGGCTTTCCTCACAGGCATCTTTTAGGTCTGCAATGTCATATTTGTTCGCCGCACCTAGAAGTGCTAACCGGTGCTTCCAGAAATTCTCTTGTTTAATGGTTCCATACAGGTAACTGAGAAGAGCCATACAAGATTCCAGGGACATGTCTTCTATGTGGATTGTGGAGGACTCTTTTTCCTTAAGGTCGTGATTGAACATGCTTTGGAACACAGGAGAAGTTGCAGAAAGAATTGCTTTGTGAGCTCTTAAAGTGCCATCAGCAGTGTTGATAGTGACATCAGCATGGATGCCCTCATCAAGCATGCGAGCGAGGCATCGGAGAGTGCTTTGGGTTGATACGGATTGCATCAATCCATCAGCAGGCCATACAGGACTAGCTTCCCCACCCTGATTTAATCAGAGAATTGTAAGAAATCAAGTCCTCCAGATATCACTACTTGTTACTTAATTGATGATAAAGCAAGCTGAAATTAAAATCATTGAGTTGTAAATTATAACTTTTCATCATTTAATGAAGCTTTTGTGGCCCACGGTCCACCAGTGAGAGAGATAATCAACAATAATTTAAATCCATCTGTAATACCAAAAATTCATAAACCACATATACCCATAAAAATACCACAAAAATAACAAAGTAATGAAACTAACACAAAGACAACTATGTAATGGAACTCACATTTAAAGGGCATATCTTCAAGTCGAGAAACTCAACATCAATGATGAAGCGACCAAGGAAGGTGGAATCAACAGGCCAGACAAAGTCTTCACTTGTGCGAAGCAATCTTTCATGAACTGTAACAATAAGCAAAGCAGCATTACAGGAAAATAATTCTATTTAAAAAGAAAAAGAAATGGCTATCACATTATAGATTTCCAAAACAAATATATGTAAGTTCAATATTTCTGATGGACGTGGGATTTTCCAAAGTGCCCATGGGCAAGGAAACACATAAGTTTGTTGCCTTAATTTTTGAATCCCTATTTCCACAGAACAGATCCATGAGTTGGGTGTATTACATCAAAGCACATTAACCAATTGTAGCATAAGTCATACACAGACGCATATTCTTTTTAATTGTAGCTGATGATCAGAAAAGGGGTGAAATGTCCAGGTTATTAATGGTCCTCTCTACATTGCATCACAGCCTTTTTATTTCAAAATATTAGTTACATATTAATTTAGTGTTTTAAATAAGTATCAAGACAGTATCATATTTTGATAAACATACTGAAACACAGCTATATGCTATGTTTGAGATATGTCAAGATCACTTACCAGTTCTGCCTCAAAATATCATCCAAGAATCCATACACTTGAATTTTGTAGAGAAACGGAAGATGAATTGAGAGCCCAGTAAATGAGATAAAAACAGATTTCGATAACCTCTAGGATGGCAAATCCATGTGAAAGTTTTCACGATGAGTGTATAAGGACAGAAATAAACAGTACAAGAGACATTTGGATGGGTTTTTTAATAAAAGAGAAAGGGGAATGGTACCAAGCTTCTGTCTTTTTGGCTAAAACAACCTGACAGAACAGCTGTCGTAAATCAAAGCAGTGGTACAAATTAAATTAACAGATACAGAGGAAGAAGGTAATGCAAATCCCAAACTTCACTATGCGATGCCTGGAATCATATGATGTAAGGACAGATTCCTTCAAACAAAATCTTATACATTGTAGGACTCGTACCAAACCAGGACACAAATTAAACAAAACAACTCAACTGACTTCAGATATAGTACCCTGACTTATGTACTACTTCCAATCACTATCTTCAGTTATTACCAACTTGCGAACATTTTCTATCATTCATATACTAACTTCCAAACATCACGGAAACTACATCAAACCCATATGAACAAAAATCACTAAACTTTCAAGAGCAAAATGAACAATGGAAGACATTGATATATATTCAGCCGACCAGTTAGCCCCTCAATCGAAAAAGAAACAGACTTTTAGCATTCCAAGTTGCATGTTATACAACTTTGATCTGATAGGCACCAGACCAACTATGCATATCCAATTCTAACCACATTTCCAAAAGTGATGCATTCAAACAATCATCCCCAATAATCATAAATCATAGCAAAAAATTTGAACTTGAAGTAAAAATAAGAGAGAGACATACTAGGAGAGACGTAGGGTCTGCGGCCAGGACCGGAACTAGAGACTCTAAGAACAAAGCGAGCAAGAGGAGGCTGTTCTTTGGACACCCGTGATGGCTCTGGAAACAAACGAATGTAGAGGTACCGATTCTTCTCTATAGAAAAATGCCTGATAACCCAACAAAAAACACTCAATTTCAGAACCCATATCAACAAAGAAAACAAAGAAAAATGACAGTTGGGTAAAAATGAGTGTTGTGGGAAGGGAACTACCAATTCCAAATTCCGAGCTTGAAAGGATCAGACTTTTTGTAAGAGCAAGGCCCGAAATTCTCGATTCTCCATTGGGCCAGTCTTGAGATCGTCTCTACTTTTGAATCGGCCATTGTTGAGAGCTTTCTCACTCTCTGTGACTTCTTCTGGCTGACTTGGTCTTTGCTTTCTTGACAAACCTTTTTTCAAGGCAATCCCAAGTACGTGGCTTGATCAATTTCAAGTCAAACTATACCAACTTCGAATTAAAAAACACCATTCGTTTTGCAAATGTTTTCCTTTTCTGGCAGATTTTTTTTTTTTATCTGATTTCTCAGAAGATTTTTACAGGATTATTTGCGATATGCAAAGAATTGGAGCATTTTTACTCACCACTTTAATTTAGTGTATACTATTAACACCATTCTTATAACTTGACACATGTCTATACTTGTAATCATAGTTAATTCTCTAATTTTAAATCTTTTAAGTATTTAAGAAAATAGAAAATGGAGCAACGTTGGACACAAAATAAAAGCAGAGGGGCATGTTGACCCAGTTGCAAAGTCACGAGGTAAACTGAGATTTTCTGTAAAATCCAGAGGACAAATTAATAAATAAGTCTTTTAATAATTATGTTTGGATTTTAATAATTTTTAATAATTTTGTTCTTTTTTGTTCTCTCTCATATTATACCCTCACTCCACATTAATTTCATTTTTACTTCACTTATTGTTATTTTTTTTAATACTTAATTTTTCAAATTACACTTTATTTTCAGTATTTTTTTTTAATAATATAAAAATGAAGTAAATTCAAAGTCAAAGTTTCAACAAACACATAATATACAGTTTTTTGAGCAAGATACAATTTTATTGTACGAAAACATTAAAATCCACCCTAGCTTCCTCTTAAAACCATTTTTTTACTGGGCCATTACAAAATACACCACAGGAAACTCCTAGTGACGTTGAGATGTTGATTTATTATCATCAAAAGCATATCAGAAGGGTAATTTCGAATGTGTATTTTTTCTTTCTTTTTAAAATGTAATATTGGATATGGCATGAGTACTTTATGCTTGATTGCTTGATTTTTTACACCAAATTTTTTTCCCAATAACCAGTCATCATATCTTCTTCACTGATCATAGACAAAATATCAATTTTCGGTTATTATCAATACCATTACCTTGACATTACAAATTTTGAATTTTCAGCAATCTCATCCTTATCAAAGATAATATTCAGTGAAAAAAAATTAATGGGGTAAGGGTAAAATGGGAAAAAGAAATAACAAAAAAAAATACACAATTTTTTAAAAAGTAATGAAAAGCAAAAGAAAGTATAAGTGGAGAAAATACGAGTGGAAAAGTCAACTCCTTTATATAAACCCAAAAGTTTCCTAAAACAGAGTATTCCCTAGTGCTCTAGTTTTACTCTTTTGATCAATTTTGAGTCTAGTCTTGGGAGTACAAATATATAATTGACTTGCCAAGTCTTAAATTGGAGTGCTTCAATTTAGGATTATCGATTGTTAAATCCTGATAGATAGACGCATGTACAAAAATGTGTGCACAAAAGCACGGGTCAAATCTGTCTTTAGGACATTACAATTCTTGCAAGCCTCAATCGCTAAAGTTGTGAGTATTTCTATTTGTATTTATTGATTTACCTTAATTTCACATAAATTTGTTATTGTATTTTGATTATTACAATTTTGTTGAGAATTATTATTATTTTTAAATTCATATTTTCTATTGTTATTCCAACATCCGAAAGTTTCACAATGTACACTTCATGGCAGTTGCCTCAATGTGGCTCCTGTCAAGGCTCATGGAAGTCTAATCAGAAAAACATTTCTCCCAATATACCTGAATCAAGATTAAATCAAATAAACATGATGAGTTTCAAAAGAGTGCTCAATAAAAACTTACTCCCTCTCTATCAAAGCAAGTCCACTACCAAACGTTAGTGTTTAATGAGTACGAACGAAAAGAAAGAAAAGCATCTAGCAAGACCCATTAATTCCTTCATCAATGTAACAGCAAAATTATAAGTACAATAGATTCTTATGTGCAAAGAAGTAGGGTTTGGAACTTAAACAACACAAGCAATTTATAATGCTCACGAGATATGGGGCATGACACACTATATGAACTCGAAACCGAATGCCAAACGGGTCACCTGGGATCGTAATTTTTTTATCATACAGGAGAACAACATCACCATTAAACCACACAGATAATCTCAGAGGATACTTGAACCAAAGACTATATATACAATTATCAATCAGCAGACTGCACATGACAGTAAGAAGTCCATGAAAAGAAAGTTATTAAGGCTTCCAAACAGTAAGCACCTCTTGAAACATTTCCATCATCAAGTCTCTGTCTGCATGCCTGAAAAAGTCGTCTACTTCGTCTCTAACATCGTATATTTTGCCAAAATCAAACAAGTACGTCAAGCATCCTTTCTTCAGCATATTCAGCTGGTACAACCAGGCCTCTTGCAATCTTGCAAGGACATTTGCGGAGTTAATATCTTCCAGAAGGCTTTCCTCACAGGCATCTTTTAGGTCTGCAATGTCATATTTGTTCGCCGCACCTAGAAGTGCCAACCGGTGCTTCCAGAAATTCTCTTGTTTAATGGTTCCATAGAGGTAACTGAGAAGAGCCATACAAGATTCCAGGGACATGTCTTTTATGTGGATTGTGGAGGACTCTTTTTCCTTAAGGTCATGATTGAACATGCTTTGGAACACAGGAGAAGTTGCAGAAAGAATTGCTTTGTGAGCTCTTAAAGTGCCTTCAGCAGTGTTGATAGTGACATCAGCATGGATGCCCTCATCAAGCATGCGAGAGAGGCATCGGAGAGTGCTTTGGGTTGATACGGATTGCATCAATCCATCAGCAGGCCATACAGGACTCGCCTCCCCACCCTGAGACCACTCTCAGAGGATGTAAGGACACATGGTTGCACTAAAATATAATTGTAGGAAATCAAGTCCTCAAGATATCACCACTTGTTACTTAATTCAAGATAAAGCAAAAATAAAATAAAATCATTGAGTTGTAAATTATAACTTTTCACCATTTAATGAAGTTTTTGTGGCCCACAGTCCACTAGTGAGAGAGATAATCAACAATAATTAAAATCCTTCTGTTCTAATACCAAACATTCATAAAACACGCATACCCATACCCATATGTAAGTACCACAAAGATAACTATGCAATGAAACTAACACAAAAAACACTATGTAATGGAACTCACATTTAAAGGGCATATCTTCAAGTCAAGAAACTCAACATCAATGATGAGGCGACCAAGGAAGGTGGAATCAACAGGCCAGACAAAGTCGTCACTCGTGCGAAGCAGTCTTTCATGAACTGTAACAAGAAGCAGAGAAGCAATACAGGAACAGAATTACTGCTCAGTGCATTCTCCTTAAAAAGAAAAAGAAATGGCTATCATATTGGAGACTTCCAAAACAAATATATGTAAGTTCAATATTTCCCATATGAACAAAAATCACTAAACTTTCAAGAGCAAAATGAACAATGGAAGACATTGATGATATATATTCAGCCTACCAGTTAGTCCTTCAATCGGAAAAGAAACAAACTTTAGCATTTCAAGTTGCATGTTATACAACTTTGAGCTGATCGACACCAGACCAACTACGCATATTATACAACTTAGAACAATTTTAACCACATTTCTAAAAGTGATGCATTCAAACAACCATTGCCAACAATCATAAACCATAGCAAAAAATTTGAACTTGAAGTAAAAATCAAAAAAAGACATACTAGGAGAGATGTAGGGTCTGCGGCCAGGGCCGGAACTGGAGACTCTAAGAACAAAGCGAGCAAGAGGAGGCTGTTCTTTGGACACACGAGATGGCTCTGGAAACAAACGAATGTAGAGGTACCGATTCTTCTCTATAGAAAAATGCCTGATAACCCAACAAAAAACACTCAATTTCAGAACCCGTATCAGCAAAGAAATCAAAGAAAAAGGAGAGTTGAGCAAAAATGGTTTTTGTGGGAAGGAAGTACCAATTCCAAATTCCGAGCTTGAAAGGATCGGACCTTTTGTAAGAGCAAGGCCCGAAATTCTCGATTCTCCATTGAGCAAGTCTTGAGATCGTCTCCACTTTTGAATCGCCCATTGTTTTGAGCTTTCTTTCTGACCAGCCTTTGAAGTTTTTGATGAAGCTCTTCTCTCACTCTCTGTGACTCCTGGCTGACTTTGTCTTTTGCTTTGTTGAGTGGTGGGTTGATTTGTTTACTTTAGAGTTTAGACCTTCCCCACAAAGTTTTGTATACAAAGTTTTGTAGACAAAACTTTTTTTACGGCAATGCCAAGTACGTGGCGTGATCAATTTCACGTCAAACTACACCATTTGTTTTATAAAATTCCTTTTCTGGCTTCTTCTTTTTTTTTTTATCTGATTTCTCAGAAAATTTTTACAGGATTATTTGCGGACATGATCATGGTGGCAAAGGTAGTAGTATGTTACTTCTTTGGGGACTCTTTTGTTGAAAGTAACCTTTTCTTTTCTTTTATTTTCTTTTTTGGATTTGTTGTGTAATTTGCCCTATCAACCTTGCTGTGTAAGTAAAGGTGTCCACCAACCAACGGGAAAGCTATAATGAGGAGTTTAAAGTGAAGAGGCTATTTAAGAAAGTCAATCTCACCATCAACAAATGTAAAGAAATCACATGACTTAAATATTTTAAATATTTTCATAGTAGAATTGGCCTCCTCAAATAGTCTCCTCACTTCAAACTCCTCATTATTACCTCTACCCCAATCAAAATGAAACTGGAAAAAATAGTGGGACATGACTAATAAAGAAAAAAGCAACAAAAGAAAGGCCCAAAAAACTTAATAACCAAAGCCTCATTTTAATCATAAAGAAAAGGTTTAATCAGGGATGGTGCTTGGTGATATAGTGTTTTGAAAAGGAGACGGTGGAGATAATTTGTGTATAAAGTTGTGGCGGTGGAGAGAGAGCTTTTAACACAAGGAAACCAATGTGGCCAGTTTTTTTTTCTTCCACTCTCAGTCAATTGGGTTTAAGCTGGGATTGGACTGGACTAAAATTGTCCAATTCTACCTCTTTATCCACGGCCCTATCCACAAACCATGGGCCCACGAACTTCTAGTAGACCTGAGTGAGAGGCGGGTAAGTGCAAATAATTTTTTTTTCACTTTTTTTAATTTTACAAACAACTATTTACAAATTACTTTTACAACGAGTCAATACATAACATAACATCAACAACAAAACTACACTACTATTATAAGAGTTAGCCACGATTAAGTATAGAACTCATTATAAATATATATTATAATCATCAACCATGATAGTTGAACTTAAAACTTCATTCAATAAAGTCGAGATAAATACAACTAGATTTTTGTAATCAAGAAATATCATTAGATTAAAAGTTAATTGGTTGCCCCTTTTCCAACTAATTGGTTCCACTTTAGTTGTTAAAAAAAGTCTTTTTTTTAGGAAATTGTAGAGAATTTAAATAAATCAGCTGTGATTTATTTTCTCCCAATAAAGTTAAATGAATCAACTAACGTTTAAATCTTTTTTTTTTCTTTTTTTTGGGGATCGTGCGATTAAATTTAAAACGTTAGTTGAAAACGTGCCCCAAAAAAAAAAAAAAAAAATTGACCGCAAGCCGTGAGCCACTCTAAATCAAAAACAACCCTCCTCTTCCCATTCC